TTATTATTGATATTCATTTCATTATATATTTTCTAGATTCCCTTGAGCAGTTTGATATCCCATAGACAAGAATAATGAATGAAAAATATATTGATGAAACCATTTAATATTTTTCTTAACGAATATTTATCCTTTTATTATTCAATTGTTTTTTGAAAAATTTCTCTACAAAATTACAGAAAAAGCAGACAATCTTTTTTAGTTCTTTTCACACAAAAACCCATGGATTTTTTTTTGCAAAATCAGTGTCATGCAACACATTTTTTGATTTGGAAACTTCTAGCTAAAAGTGTGGCTGTACCTGTATGAATTAATTTCAAATATTTTTGTTCTGATTATAGGTAATTCTTTTGAAGATTTTCATCAAGCATTTTGCCCAGCATAACTACAAGTAAAAATATTTTTACTAACAAGAAAACTAACCAAGTGAAAAAGAGAAAAATTTAGTCTTCAACCTTAAACGGGACCACAGCCATATATATTTTACTTCACATATCAAAACCTAATCTTATTTTTAGAAATACAATACATATTAATAACAACTAACGTTTCTCACCCTGTTCATTTGAAAAACTAAATAATACTGAGAAGTCTTTAAATATTTTTCTCTCTCTACCACCTAACAAACAAACAAACATTCCAACAGCTGATTAATTTGTAACTACCCGCTACGTACTAACTAAAAAATATTTAATGTACAGCTGAAGTCTTTCGCAATTGTTTTTTTTTTGCAATATATAAAAATAATTATCAAAACTAAACAAATTAGTAATGGATGTATGTACTACAAAGCGAAACGTACAAATTTGGTTCATTATAGTCCAAGATCCCAGAGCCGCCAGACATTACTTATTTTCTGAGTAACAAAATGAGTGGGATAGGGATAGAGTAGTGTTGTATTGCTAAAAATTAATAATCAACACTGCTAGACACTTCCCACCGGCGCGGCGGTAATTTCTACCAGCGCAGCGTTTCAAAGTTCGCAAAAAAATAGTAATTTTACTTAAACTCTGAGTATTCATTTTTAAATATGGTACTTAGGGAACTATTGCAGTATTTTTTGTATACAGCTAGATCAATTGTTGGGGGCCAAACATCACCCAGACACAATTAAATGTAGCTGTAAGTATAGATATTAAATGTATAATCCAGTAAAAAATAGCAAGGGATGTTTTATGTACCTTTAGCATCTAAAGTACGTACTATCACCACTCTATCCCACCCTTTTGTTACTCAGAAAATAAGTAACGTCTGGCGGCTCTGGATCTTGATCGATTAAGTAAATGCTCTTATTATTTATTGTAATATTTTTTGTCCTAGTGACACACATTTTATTATCTGCTAATAGATCTTATATTGTAGATAATCATATACAGTACATAGATAATAGACACCCAATAAGTGATTTGAAAGATCTTTGATTGTTATATGAACCCAAACATCGAAATAAATAATTTTTGAGGATACCGTTTTTTCTCATTTAAATAAAAAAATACAATCAATAAAAGTAGGTATACATTTAAATAACTACTAGAAAAAAAATGGTTCTGAAAGTAATAATTGTAATGTAACGAATAAATTAATATTTTTTTAATTTAGTATTAAAGGATTCAATCCAGCAAAAACTTTTTGGTTAATTTATTTCGATGTTTGAACTTTCAAAAACTATAACATTATTTCTTATAACATTTAATTTTCAGTTCATCATTTATTTTTTTCAATCGATTGTTCTTTCACGTAGGAATTACAAATAAAAAGCGAATATTTTTTTTAGCATTACCTTAAAATTATCTGAAAAAAGGCTCAGGACAGTAATTAATACATAATATTATGTATGCGTTCCTGCCCGTTAATGGCCATAGCCTCAGTAGCTTCCAGGTAACGCTGGAGGCGTTGGGGCAGGAGCCGAAACGTTGTTATTCGGAATATTAATAGGACTTGAACTTTGGACTACATAATGCGTCAAACGTGTCGGTAAACAGCCTGCGTTCAGTTGATAAAATTCTACCAATTGCAATAAGTCGTAAAACTTCGTGACGCCACTGTCCAAAGAAAAAACATGTGCTTCCCTGACTGGATCCAGAATTGGATTAATTTGGGCGTGGAGCACCTTACTTCCGCATTTGTATGTCAATACAAACGATCCAGGATTCGAACGGCTATCTCTTACTAAAAACACCCTGGAAAATAAGAAAACCTACCGTCAAATTTCAGGACTCCTTCATCGAAGAAATATACAAAAAGTGGGAATTTAATTTTAAAATTTACAGTTTTTTTAATCATAATATTCGCAGTTAAAATACTNATTTTATACATTTTATTCAGTAAATTAAATGCTTCTTTTACATGTAGAAATAAACTTAATATGCTGTTATAAATAAATTTTTACAATGTTTTGTGTAACAATAATTCTGATCTCTCTCTTTAACTTTGGTAAATTAGCCCCCAAAACTGGTGTCTATAAAACTGATAAAACTACGTAACGTATTTTCTAAGAGATCTATACTTGCCTCCGTTTTTCTTCGTATTATATTGTTCGACCATTTATTGTATTTGAAGACTTGTATTATTCTTATAAATCATTCAAAAATTTTCACATCGTACCTTAAATCTATGTCTACTAATATTTTCCTAGAACTCACTTTTGCTCATGTCATTTGGTGGTCTTTTTTTGCTCTACAAAACTACGATTAATATCACACTACTATTTTTTGAAACGAAGATTGAGAGATATTTTATAGGCGATAAAAACATAACAGAAGAGGTAAATGAAGGGTACACTAATTGACTGTCTTTCATTTTTTTTTTTGACCGGACTGCACAAAGGGTTCACTTTTAGATTAATATTTAAAGTATTTTTAAAGAAATAAAAAAAATATAGTTTCTAAAAGGAAAGCTAGTCGACACTGGGATTTACTAATTTCAAATTCAACTTATCTTGTTACGTGTCCATTACGGTTTTTTGTTGTAATACTGTCCCTGCAAAGTCTTACTGCTTATTTTTTTTCGTTTTTTTTTTGTTCAATTAAAATGACAAGTGAAAAATAAAATGAGGGCAACTCAAATTTCAGCTTCCCTTCTTAGATATAGATTACAATATGTTCTTATTATTGATATTCATTTCATTATATATTTTCTAGATTCCCTTGAGCAGTTTGATATCCCATAGACAAGAATAATGAATGAAAAATATATTGATGAAACCATTTAATATTTTTCTTAACGAATATTTATCCTTTTATTATTCAATTGTTTTTTGAAAAATTTCTCTACAAAATTACAGAAAAAGCAGACAATTTTTTTTAGTTCTTTTCACACAAAAACCCTATGGATTTTTTTTTGCAAAATCAGTGTCATGCAACACATTTTTTGATTTGGAAACTTCTAGCTAAAAGTGTGGCTGTACCTGTATGAATTAATTTCAAATATTTTTGTTCTGATTATACGTAATTCTTTTGAGGATTTTCATCAAGCATTTTGCCCAGCATAACTACAAGTAAAAATATTTTTACTAACAAGAAAACTAACCAAGTGAAAAAGAGAAAAATTTAGTCTTCAACCTTAAACGGGACCACAGCCATATATATTTTACTTCACATATCAAAACCTAATCTTATTTTTAGAAATACAATACATATTAATAACAACTAACGTTTCTCACCCTGTTCATTTGAAAAACTAAATAATACTGAGAAGTCTTTAAATATTTTTCTCTCTCTACCACCTAACAAACAAACAAACATTCCAACAGCTGATTAATTTGTAACTACCCGCTACGTACTAACTAAAAAATATTTAATGTACAGCTGAAGTCTTTCGCAATTGTTTTTTTTTTGCAATATATAAAAATAATTATCAAAACTAAACAAATTAGTAATGAATGTATGTACTACAAAGCGAAACGTACAAATTTGGTTCATTATAGTCCAAGATCCCAGAGCCGCCAGACATTACTTATTTTCTGAGTAACAAAATGAGTGGCATAGGGATAGAGTAGTGTTGTATTGCTAAAAATTAATAATCAACACTGCTAGACACTTCCCACCGGCGCGGCGGTAATTTCTACCAGCGCAGCGTTTCAAAGTTCGCAAAAAAATAGTAATTTTACTTAAACTCTGAGTATTCATTTTTAAATATGGTACTTAGGGAACTATTGCAGTATTTTTTGTATACAGCTAGATCAATTGTTGGGGGCCAAACATCACCCAGACACAATTAAATGTAGCTGTAAGTATAGATATTAAATGTATAATCCAGTAAAAAATAGCAAGGGATGTTTTATGTACCTTTAGCATCTAAAGTACGTACTATCACCACTCTATCCCACCCTTTTGTTACTCAGAAAATAAGTAACGTCTGGCGGCTCTGGATCTTGATCGATTAAGTAAATGCTCTTATTATTTATTGTAATATTTTTTGTCCTAGTGACACACATTTTATTATCTGCTAATAGATCTTATATTGTAGATAATCATATACAGTACATAGATAATAGACACCCAATAAGTGATTTGAAAGATCTTTGATTGTTATATGAACCCAAACATCGAAATAAATAATTTTTGAGGATACCGTTTTTTCTCATTTAAATAAAAAAATACAATCAATAAAAGTAGGTATACATTTAAATAACTACTAGAAAAAAAATGGTTCTGAAAGTAATAATTGTAATGTAACGAATAAATTAATATTTTTTTAATTTAGTATTAAAGGATTCAATCCAGCAAAAACTTTTTGGTTAATTTATTTCGATGTTTGAACTTTCAAAAACTATAACATTATTTCTTATAACATTTAATTTTCAGTTCATCATTTATTTTTTTCAATCGATTGTTCTTTCACGTAGGNAGTGTTTTATTTATGTTTTTTATTTATTAAACATACCAAAACCGCTAAAGATTTATACTGCCGTATTGTCGTTAAATAGAGTGAGCGTGACGCTACATAGAGTGTATTATTGTATAGAAAACAAGATAAACCAACCAAAGTCAAACAATTTCGACGTTTTAAGAAGTTTGTCGTTAAATCGAGTGACGTTATAAAGAGTTTACACTGTATAACTAAAAAAAGAACTATCTACATATATTAACCAGAATAACTTGTAAATTACTAAAGCCTAATAATTAGGAAATGATTTTAATTTTATCTTTTGCCTTGTTGCATTTTTATTAGTGTCATTAAGTTTTCTGTAACTAAATCTTATTATTTTTGATGACTACAATTTACTTTTAGTTTAGTGTATATATATAGTTTTCGTGTATAACTAACACCTGTTTATAGGGGGTTATCCCCATCCTACAGGTTCCATGTATCTCCTCAGGGAGAACTTGTTAATTGCTGGTCAATTAAATAAATTAAACGAATAAATAAAATCAACTTACCCATCGACAGTTCCATATTTGCTAACTAATGCCGTGGCCTGATCTCTACTCATCCATAATTACAAAAACATTGTAAGGTGCAGTCATTTCGGACAGTATTTTTGATAATGTTTTGAAGTATAAAAGTCAAATTAAATTATTTACTTCTTTTAACGTTTATCGGAATTTTTGTAATACATTAAAGACAGGCAGAATGTAAAACAAACATGCCGACAGGCTCCAAACGTTTACGTATGTATAGTCAGGTATACCAAACATCCTATGCGTCAAAAATCTTAACTTGAATTCTGCAGAATATGTCGGAATGAAGGGCGGAAATATTAAGAGACCAATTTGGAGTTAAAATAAGTAGGAGCTTTACGAAAGGATAATTGTAGGGAAAACAGTGAGAGCGAGTAGATTTAGGAAAAGTTTTTGAAAATGTTACATGTGAAAATATCCAAAAAATACTACTAAAGAGTAGAAATAAACAATTGGGTTAAATGTGCTACTAAATTGTAGAGGAGAATTTTTGAAGGCTGATCGAAATTACCTTTTCAAAATAACTTTTTGTAGAAAATTAATATTTCCGTGCAAATAAATCCGTTTTTTACATTTTTATCAATTTTTATTGTTTTTTTATTTTTCATTTTTCTATTGCTTTTAGTTCTTTAAAAAATTTTGTAGTATTTTTGTAAAAATCTAGAATTTTGCTTTGTTTTCAAATTATTATGAAAAAACTAATAAGGGGGTAATTTCAGCCTGCTCTCTTTCACCTTTTCTAATCGTAAGTTTAAAAATGAAAACTAGTGATATTAATAGGCAAATCACTTAAAATACCTTGGAAATATAATAAATAGATTATAATCAAAATAGAATTTACATATTAAATACGTCATTAGCAGAGCGAGATATTTTCTTTATACAATAAATAAACTAAAATATAGTATCTATCAATTAAAGCGATTGAGTCAATATATTCCGCGTACTTTTATAGCATATTAAACTGTAACCTTGATATATTAGCGCGCGCGGGGGGGGGGGTTGTGAAAAAGAGTTAAACCTCTTGAGAAAACTGCAGAGCAGAATTATCAATTTACTTAAGACTGATAAATTTAATTAAGCATCGAACAAATGCATAGAGCTAGCAATAAACGTATTATGTATCATTGTTATAAACTGAACTGTGACGAAAAAAATTATTATTCTGTTACCCTGCAATGAAACTACAGTGTAAACTCTATATAACGACACTTAACGAACTGAGCATTTTTTGGCGTTATAGAGAGTGGTCGTTAAACGGAGAGAAATAAAAGATATTATTTTACTATGCTATAATAATATGTACAGTACACATTTTACACACGAACATTATTATTTTAATTGTTTTTTCTTATGTCTCATATCTTGAGATGCTGCTGTATCAACTTGATTATATAACATAAAAAGTATTTTTCTAATAGTTTCGCGCACCAAGTGTTTGTTTAATGTTTGGTGGAGAGACGGCAAACAAAACAACGTATACAGCTGTAGTTGTTATCTAGAAAGTAATGCTTAATGATTTGTAGTGGTAAAACACCTTAAAAATTAATTTTTATATTCGTTTTTGTTGTTTTTCTAATACTATTGTTGTTTTGTAAATATTCTTCTAAATCTATTTGTAGACTTACAACTTCTTATCTTGTGCATGTCTTTGTTTCCTTTTTACCTAGATTCTATTGTTCTACTATCGTTAGCCTTTACCTAGAATTTCATCTTCACCTATACCTGCATGCACCCCTTACTAATAGCTGGACTTTCCCTTAATTACTTTTCCTAAAATTCTATATTGNAGAATTTCATCTTCATCTATAACTGCATGCACCCCTTACTAATAGCTTGACTTTCCCTTAATTGCTTTTCCTAAAATTCTATATTGTTCACCTTTAGTGCTCAAAACTTTCAACTTTACTGTCCGTACTTTTCCTTCTTGAATATTCTACCCCTTTTTACTAAAAATTCAGCTGTATATGTGCCCCTAAATTTCTATACGCACTAACCACTCTCTTGCCAATATTCAAGTCTACAACATTGTTTTATATAAACTGTCTGCTATATTTTCATTGTTTTTCTATATTTTTTGTGACATTATTGGCTTTATTGTTATATATTAGTGTTTTATTTATGTTTTTTATTTATTAAACATACCAAAACCGCTAAAGATTTATACTGCCGTATTGTCGTTAAATAGAGTGAGCGTGACGCTACATAGAGTGTATTATTGTATAGAAAACAAGATAAACCAACCAAAGTCAAACAATTTCGACGTTTTAAGAAGTTTGTCGTTAAATCGAGTGACGTTATAAAGAGTTTACACTGTATAACTAAAAAAAGAACTATCTACATATATTAACCAGAATAACTTGTAAATTACTAAAGCCTAATAATTAGGAAATGATTTTAATTTTATCTTTTGCCTTGTTGCATTTTTATTAGTGTCATTAAGTTTTCTGTAACTAAATCTTATTATTTTTGATGACTACAATTTACTTTTAGTTTAGTGTATATATATAGTTTTCGTGTATAACTAACACCTGTTTATAGGGGGTTATCCCCATCCTACAGGTTCCATGTATCTCCTCAGGGAGAACTTGTTAATTGCTGGTCAATTAAATAAATTAAACGAATAAATAAAATCAACTTACCCATCGACAGTTCCATATTTGCTAACTAATGCCGTGGCCTGATCTCTACTCATCCCGCTATGAAACCAGGGCTGGGTAATGTGCACACCTGAATCGATTCCCTGAATACTATTGGCATTTGTTCTGGTTGAAGGTCTCCACCGTCGTTTCCATGAATATCCTTCGGCTACTGCTATCGCTTTTGCTTCCTTTGGATCTTCAACTATTCTGCCTACGGATCCCGTGAAGTCCATCGCCACCCGTGATCGCACAGATTCCTGAAACAAAGAAACAATTTTTCGTGAACCGGTTATCTGTTTATAAGACAAGCTTTTCGATAGTCTCTTCATAAAATGTTGCAGCTAATGACAGACGAACGGACAGACAGACAGACAGATAAGCAAGTGATTTTATAAGGGTTGCTTTTTTCCTTTTGAGGTACGGAACCCTAACAAGAAGCACGTTGATTTCTGGAATTGTGATGGTAGGTGTTGTCATTGACCAGAACAATTCTAGAAGTCAGTATACTTTTTTTTGGAAAAGGCTTTTTCCTAACCTATCGCCATCGTTGAGTGAATCCCATCTCTTTCCTATTTTCCCCGCATTCAAACTAACAAGGAGCTTCAAGACAGCGTCAAGATTCATTTAAATATTCATTGACGGTAACATTTTTATAAAGAAGGTATTATGATGTTTTCTTCAACTAAGACAAATGTCAATCGCCAAACTAATAAATAAACGTAACTTTTAGTAATATTTTTTTTTTGTTATATTCACTAACTTTTATTACATCCTCTGTCAGACGATGAAAAAAACAACAATCTTGGTACATACCCACCTAGTAATAATTACGTAAGCATTTATTTAAACAATATTTTCGATTACGTATTTCAATAATACTACCGTGTAATATTGCTCCTTCTCGTCCAATTACAATGTGAAATCAACCAGAACCTGCGCTCAAAGTAGCCATGTGTTGGCTAACTGGTAGTCACGCTGCTAACTTCACACTGTCAAAATTTTATTAACCGTGCGCGCGCAACTTCCGTTGCATGTTAAAATTTTTACTCTGAACGTACCAAAAGAAGTACAACTTTAATAAATATTAAATGAATATGCTATTCAACCCTATTAAACATTTAAATGAAGGTGCCTAAGTAGATACCTAATTATTATAAGAGTAAACTTAATGAAGTCAATTTTACTAGCTGCTCTATTTTTTTATCTTGAAAATTGTGTGAGATTTTTGTCGTAGTAAAAAAAAAGAAACTATTTCTAATCTTACGCTGGAAATTGAAAAAGAGATGAACGATTTTCCCTCAACGTATTTATCATCTTGATAAACATGTCTTCCGACATCAGAACTACAATAATAATAATGATAAAAATAATAATAGCAACGATAGCGCGTTTTTTCATACGAAAATGTTTTTGTAACTCGCGTATGTTCGAGTCCAATTTTTTTTTCTTTGATGTAGGTTTTTTATCAAACAGAATCATGATACAGCACCACCCCCTTTTCGCCCCGGGCCTTTTACCTATCCAACCGTCGGAAAATGTGACAGTAGATAAGTTAACGCGTCGGTTATTCCCTCCAAGTTATTACTGAACTCTGAAGAACAAAAAAAATCGCTCAAAAGATACGTTCCGCACGCCCAACAAAAAAATCTAATATTTGGCCTCTGTTTTAAATCAAGCTTTCGGAAACAGCGCCCTTTTACAAGATAAAACTGATGTTATATTTCAAAGGAACTGTTCATATAAAAGTAATTTGTACTTCAAACTTTTTTAACGAAAGAAACTTTTTATCTAAAGTTTACGTCTTCACGAGGGGTGTAGTTCCAAAACGGGAAAGTGTATTTCTCGAATGCCTACATAATCTAATCATTTTGAAGTAAGAAATATATATACAATATATTCCCATCATCTAAGTTTCTAAGATGTCAACAGTTCTTTTAAACAAGAATAATTTCAATACTTATTTTTTTTTTTCAATTTATTTGTAGCTCTAGAGAAAGGATCATAAATTGCAAACAGTTTATGAAAATTATGCATATACTTATAATAAAAAATATGTTTTTATAAAAATGATTTGGAATCATATGTATACAGAGANCAGCCATGTCATATTTCGAAAGGGGACGATTTTTCTCTTTTATGTTTTCGACCTCACTGTACTCTATGTAAAAAAGGGCCTGAAGAATGTAGAAGTTGTTTTTTTCTAATGTTACAAACAATCTAGATGTGGACATGTAGCCAAAACTCGAAATTTTCAACTTTTGTTTATAACTCGTAAACAAAAGGCGATAGCAAGTTTTTGAAAAAACCAATTTTTTTTAATTTGTTTGATAGATATTTTGTATGGATATAGAGAAGGAGGTAAATGGAAATGTATTATTTATTTCAATAGAAGGGGCTATTAATTTGGCATCGAGCGCTTTCATTTAATATGGGTCATTCTATTTGAAAAAAAAAGGTCTTATCAAATTATCAGAAGTAGGCTTCGATATTTCCGACTCTGACTAACGTACATATTTTACCCATATCAAAAAAGATACGATAATTTGTGCTAAAACGAACTGTCCAAACCGCAGGGTTTTAGCTTTTATGGTTTAGATGCTACTTGGCCTTATTCAAAGTGTTTTTTTTTTAAACAGTTGAATATCTCAAAAATTAACAGAGATATGTAGAGGAAACTGCTGTCGACTTAAATTTAAACCAAAAATGTAAAAATATACAGAGTGTTATATATAAAATAAAGAGAATATGCTCTGTAATAATAAAAAACTAACACTTATAATATTCTGAAAGTACAATAGAAACTAAAACGAATTTTCACTTTGATTCAAGAGTGAAAGCAAAGTGTCACATATCTAACCAAATCATATGGAATTGTAAGATAAAATAAAAAGGGAAATTAATCTCTATAAAGCTGCGGCAGACCAGTTAAAATAACAACATAAAATAATTCATAGCGCGAAAATGATAAACAATTAACGGCCAATGATGGGTGACTACAACACACTGTAAAAGTCACCTCTTGAAATTATCTAGGAAAAAAATATTCTCTCAATTAGAACTGTCTTATAATAAGTAGGTCTTTTAATGAGCAGTGTTTTATATTTCTATATGTGATTATTTAATCAATTAGGTATTCATATTTATCACAATTAACGGAAAAATTGAAAGTTCAAGTTCATTATCAGCAATTAAAAGACATGTCTTTGGAATTTTATGTTAATTTCTTATCTACAATAAGAAGTCTTTACATTTGTATATATCAAGGTAACTAAAAAAAGGAAAAAAAAAATGATTTGCCGCACTTAAAAATTATAAATTCGAAAATCTATTTCTTAATGACAGAAAATTAATACTATTAAATATGCACCATAGAAGCTCTTTATTATCGGCAAACCGAATTTGGGAATATGAGTAGACACTCATCATGTTATATGTGCGTTAATGTCTATCTATTTGATTATTTAAGCAGGTACTAAAAACATAATAATACTAGTCAGTAAAACGAATATCAAAAAAATCGCAAGAGACGGTGTATATATATATATATATA